TTGATCAAGCCTTGGGTTCTTTAAAAAACAAACTTAAAATTGGTAATGAAGTTCTTCCACCTTGTGATGTTTGCATAAAGCTAAACAAACAATAGAACCATTCCCTATTAGTCAACATACTTCTTCTAAACCTGGTGAGCTAATTCATCGAGATGTCTGGGGACCCTATAGAGTGACAACTGCAGAAGGATTTAGGTATTCTTTGACTATTGTGGATAATTACACTAAGGCAACTTGGGTTTATCTGTTAAAGTCAAAAGATGAAGTTTATGATTGTGTTCTTATTTTCTTTAATATCTTACTTAATCAGTTTTGTGTTAAAATTAAAGTTGTTAGGTCAGATAATGGTACTGAATTTTTAAACAACAGAATGAGACAGTTGATAGAGTCAAAAGGAATTTTACATCAGACATCTTGTGTTCATACTCCATAACAAAGCGGGGTTGTGGAGAGGAAACACAGACATATTTTAAATGTTGCTAGATCCTTAATGTTTCAGTCTGGTATACCACATAAATACTGGGAGATGCACTTTTAAATTCTGTTTTCCTGATTAATAGAACTCCTACTTCTGTTTTAAATGGTGCTTCTCCCTATGAACTTGTTTATAATAGTGCTCTTGTTTTTGATAAACTTAGAGTTTTTGGCTGTTTGTGTTTTGCCACTAAATTGAATAATTCTGATAAGTTTTCTGAAAGAGTTGATAAATGTAATTTTCTTGGTTATTCTTCTGATAAAAAAGGTTATAAAGTTCTTAGTCTTGATTAAAATCTTGTTTTTGTTTCCATGGATGTAAAATTTTATGAATCAGTGTTCCTTTCAAGCTTAAGTCTTCATCTTTGACTGATAAATCCAATGTCCCTATGAATTCAAGTGACCTGTTTTCCTATGATGAGTCCTTGGATTCTAGTATTCTTTTTGATAACACTAGGTTAGAAAACTTGAGAAGTGACCATCAGTTGGATGGTGCTAGTACAGACCATGACCTGGATGAGACTTGTCCCTCTAATGTCAGCAACTGGACTGGTGAGGCATATGTGCCTCCTTCTGGTGAGATTCTTCCAAGTTCTTTTACTTTGACTAAGGAAAATGATTCAATTAATTCTAATCCTTCAGACGGCTTGTCAACTAGGGTTACTAGATCTGGACGTAATGTTCAGATGCCAGTTAGATTTAGTGATTATGTTGTAGAGGGTAAATACAAATATGGAATTGAGCGATCTGTTAACTATTCAGCTCTTAATAGTGATACTCTTTGTTTTTGATTTCAAATCTTAATAAAATTGTTGAGCTAAAAAGTTATAGTGAAGCAGCTTTAGATCCAAATTGGATTAAAGCTATGAATGAGGAAATGAAAGATCTTTATAGAAATAATACTTGGGAAATTACTAACCTTCCTAAAGGAAGAAAAGCCATAGGTTGTCGTTGGATTTATAAAATCAAATATAAATCCAATGGTGATATAGAAAGGTATAAATCCAGACTTGTGGCTAAAGGTTATAACCAAAGGGAAGGTATTGATTATGGGGAGACCTTTTCTCATGTAGCTAAAATAGTAACTGTTTGTATTGTTATTTCTTTAGATGTTTATAGTTCATGGTCTCTTTATCAACTTGACATCCACAATGCTTTTTTGTATGTAAATCTTTCTGAAAGTGTTTATATGAGTCTACCGGAAGGATATCACTCAAAGGATGATATCAGAGTTTGTAGATTGTTAAAATCTCTTTATGGACTTAAACAAGCCCCTAGAAAATGGAATGAGAAATTGTGTTCCTCTCTTTCCATATTTGGGTTCAAACAGAGTATAAATGATTATTCTTTGTTTGTTAGGAATTTTCAAGATACAGTTGATGTGCTTCTTGTTTATGTGGATGATATCATTATAACTGGAAACAACAAAATTGAGTTACATAATGTCAAAAATTTTCTTAAGTCCCAATTCTTAATCAAGGATCTGGGGGATTTGAAATACTTTTTGGTATAGAAGTTTTAAGAACTAATAGTGGTATTTGTCTTAATCAAAGAAAGTATTGCATGGAGTTGCTTCATGAGTTTGGCATGCTTGCATGTAAGCCTGTTAAAACTCCTGTTGAATCTATTTTGTTAATTAAATGGGAGTATGATTTGGATAAATCAAATTATTTAGTTAATATAACTAAGTATCAGAAGCTTATTGGTAAATTGATTTATCTAACAATCACACGACCTGATATTTCATATGCAGTCCAGTTATTAAGTCAATATATGCATAAACCCAATAAATCTCATGTTAATATTGCTTTTAGGCTGTTGAGGTATTTGAAAAACAGTCCAGGTATGGGTGTTCATTTGACCAAATCTAGTTCTTTTAATTTGATTGGGTTTGTTGATGCTGATTGGGCTAAATTTTTGTTTAGTCATAGGTATGTTACTGGTTATCTTGTTTACTTAGGTGGGTCTCTTTTCTCTTGGAAGATTAAGAAACAAAGTATTGTTTATCGCTCCTCCACAGAGTCTGAATACAGAGCTTTGGGTAGCATTATGTGTGAAATAATTTGGATTGTAAAATTGCTTCATGATTTGGGTATAAAGCCTCATTTACTTGTTGGTATTTTTTGTGATAATGAGTCTGCAATCAAATTGGCATTAAATCCTGTATTTAATGAAAAAACAAAACATTTTGAAGTTGATCTTCATTTTGTTAAGGAAAATATTGAGAATGAAATTTTAAAAGTGAATAAAATTGAGTCTTCAAACCAAAATGCAGATATTTTAACCAAAGCTCTTGGAAGTAATCAACATGAATATATTGTAAATCGTCTTAATATGGTTGATGTTTTTAAAGGAAACTAATTGCTTATATGTTCTCTCAAATTAATGTTTAGTTTGAGGGGGCGTGTTAAAAGGTTAATATTTTTCATAATCAAACTTAAACATTAATTTATAGATTATTGGGTAGGTTATGTATAAGTGTATATTTGTGGGGGTGTGTTGTGAATCTTTTATGCAGAAAGTCGGGTTTATACGCGGACTTCGAATCATATCCATGGACCTTTCTACCCAAAGTACTTAAGTGTTGTAGTTGGATGATTGTGTCATTCAGATGATATTTTCCTTCACAAACTCTCTCATCCCTCTCGTCTGTAGATTAGGGTTTTCTATCTAGGGTTTGTTAATATATCATGTTCTATGTACAAAAATCTGGTTGATTTATAATATGAGTGTGAGTGTGATATGTAGTGAGGTTTCAGGTGTAATCTGTTGATGTAAATCATCTGTTTCATAGTGAATGAAATGATGATGTTGGGAAGTTCTTAAGTTGTTTACGTTTTGTAGAAACCATGTGTTGATTTTTTTAGAAAGTATTATGACCTTAAAAGTTATTGAGTGGTCTAAGTGGCGGACTATTGGAAATAGTGTCCAAGGTAGTTGGTAATATTTATAAATAACAATAGGGTCCTTTTGGGATGAACTCACAACACAAATAGCTAAAAGGAAATAGAGAAAAATAAGTTATTATATTATTAAGTAATTAATAAATTATTTAGAAATTACTTTGGTAATTAATCAAAAGGTTTTAATTAATTAAAGAGCTTGAATATTAATCCAAAAGATTAAGTAGAATATTCCAGAAGCTCCTGGAAGACTATATGGGGTGATTTTGATATCCCCTGAATAAGGATAAGGCATGTTTGAATTAGATTAGGATTAACCTTAAGAGTTTGAATCCTTTTAAGATCTTATAAGCTACCTATAAATTAACCGATAGGGGTCAAACCCTAGAAGCTTATGATCTCTCTAAAATCGTCCATACGCTTCTCCTCTCTCCCCTTTTACGAAAATTATAACCCTACTCTTAGGGTTGTAGGATTTTCGAATAACCCTTCCATAGGGTTAATCCTTGTTATCTTTTGGAGTTTATGGATCTGACTACATTAAAGAGATTCTCCTTTGGGTCCTTCATTGATTGCAAGAGTTGCTAATTCAGATCAAGGGGTAAGTGTTTTATCCTTCTCTTTAGTTGATTTTAAAGTATGTTGCTAAACCTAGTAAAACCTAGATCTTAGGGTGTATGTACACTTAGGTAAAATTTTAATTGTTTCCGCTACCTAGTTAATGTGTATTTGATGCTTACAAAACCCAATAGTGGATTCAAAAATAACACGAGTGTTTATAAGGCTGGAAGGTGTCATGCCATGGTAGAACCGTGCCATCTCATCTCCACCTCACCTCCACATAAGATTGTGGTGTGACAACCATTTTGAAACCGTGGACAATGAGTGGTGGTGAAGAAAGGTAGAAGAGGAAGAGATAGAGATGTGAGAGGAGAGAAAGAGAGGAGGATCCACAATAGATTTTTGCTGAGGATAGAGAAACCACACTCAGAAACTACATGCTAGGTGCGATGTTAGCCGTGATGGCGCGATCTACGTGGTGAACCGGAGAAATTAGTTTATTGTTTTGAATGCAAACTCAGAGAAATTAGTCTTTAATGTGTTTAAAGGTTATCTTGATTCATAAATAATAGCTCTTGTGTTTTTTCATTAGACAATATGAATTGCATTGCTTTTTTAAACTTAAGTTTTTAAACTTCACCTATTAGATGTAAGTCAGAAAATGAGGGAGTGACAAAGATTATACAACAGAAAATTGATAATGCTTTCCATGGACGTTTTATACCTAAAAGCAAAAAAATGAGTTGAACAAAACTTTTGTTATTGAAAAAAATAAAAGTTTATAGTACATTTATCGGGTGCACTGGCACGATATGTAACGTACAAAATAACTACATGTTTTATAAGGTTCTCGATCGAAAGTTATATCTTTAAATTCTTGATTGACTCTACCTCGGTTTAACTCTTAGTAAATATGTTATTTACATAATCAAGTTCATTAGTGATAACATCTACAATGACTTTGTTATTTTTAACAAAACAAATCTATTAATATTTTTTACTAAATAATTCTATCCCAAACTAAAATAAATAATCTTATATGTAGATTCTCAATAAAAGTTTACCTCAATTATATAGTAATTCTACACCTCCAAGTCGTGCTCAATTTATTTATCCTTTTTCCCACATTCCCTTATACAAAATTTTGAAATCCACGAATTATATCCAAAACGAACACATAAAATCCTAAAAACTGTAACAAACGAAGTAAATTGGACTAGATTCATTGGCTCATGGGAGTTGCTTCTTTTCGCATTCGTTGAAAGCGAGCCTCTTCCTTTTTGTGCCAGCCGGTAGATTCTCCAAACCCGTTGCTAAATCCGCTTTGGAGACCGTAACTTTTACAGGTTCAAGTTCCAAAATTCGACAATAACAACTGTACACATCACCCTGTTTCATGTCATTGTTTAACGTATCAGTATTCACAAAAACAAACTATAAAGATTAGGGAATAACAACACATTTTATTCATGTTGATAATATTCGGTGTAATTTATTTTTTAACCAGAATAGAAATACATTTATAAAAATGAGATCGAAATGCAAGTTGCAGAGTATAACAACATACTTTATTCCGTTGATAATATACAATATATTTTATCTTTACCATGATAAATATACATTTGTATTCTTTTAAATATAATACCAACATATTTTATTGCCCAAAAAAAAATTAAGTTTATTTTTTACCTCATAATAATAGCAAGTATTTATACATTTATCTAAATAGTAATATCCTTATTGTTTGCTAATACTAGCATAAAGTACATAAATGGTATGTAAAAAAATATAAATACAATGTGTCAATATTATGAATAAAAAAAGTTGAATGTATTGTTATAATAATTGAAAAAGTAAAATAAGCTTTATATAATGAGAAAAAGTATTTTGGTACTTCCTCCAATTTGTTCCATCTATAACCAAATGGGTTAGCCACGTCTTATCATATGCTCAGTTGTGGTCCCTAAAGATGAATGAAAACTACAATAACTCACATGATCAAGAAACCGATTCAACCAAGTGCTCTTCAGTTTCATCTCCAAAGATTCTTTCGTCAAATTTTGATCTATCACCATCAGTGTAGCTGCCATTGCTATGGTAGATGATCGATATCCAACGAAATTAATATCTACATGTGTTAATCAGATCAAACAATTAGAACAAAAACTCATATCGATTAACAACATAAAATGAAGAATCAAAATGTTTAAGAATCAAGAACTTACCTTTTGTTGTAGCTAAAAGGATTTGTGTAGTTAGAGGCACAAACTCTCTGTTTGAAGATTCATTGCAGAAGCATGGAATGAAGCAGCTGATGAAGTTAAACGGAGTTATTGAATGCATTCTCCAATCTAATGTGGTCGATACCAAAAGCTCCATTCTATGAATCGTATTGCTCTCGAAATTGTATTCTTCAGCCGGAAACTCTGATAAAGCCGGAGCTTTCAAGTCCGTCATCTTTGCCGCCAACGATAAACAAGCAACCGATAGCAATCGAATCGCCCAATTCTTGTCACTCTTCATCCAAATCAAAAATAAAACAACGAATGTTAATCACATATTTTCAGTCCTGACTTTATAGAACGATCTAGAAAACTTACACTGATAAGTCCTTTTGAAAGAAATCGATCAATGTATATTACAGACAAGTAGGCAGTGTGGAATCGGAGTCGGAAAAACGCTCTCGTCTGCGAATCAATCAGGCATTAAATCAATAAAGTCCTGACCAAAATTAATCCAGATGATTAAATGCAATAAAAGCGTAGATGATGATTTAAGAGAAAATTAATTGAACATTGTATATCCATTGGATTGCTTCCGATCGACCGACTTTAATCCAATCATCTACAGGTGATCGAATGTGATTACGATCCCTCTCTCTATCAAGTAAAATTCGAAGATATTCTTCGTCTTGAGTGGATGATTCATATTCGTTTAACTCGTCTTCATCGTCGTCTTCCGCTAATGCAGTGTCTTGAGAGAGAAATCTTTCGAGGGTAAAAGTAGAACGAGAACCTGAATCCGCCATACTTTTCGGAGAGCTTTACTTCTTTGCCCCTGTGTAGAAAATCTAACAAAAATTTAGGATGAATGTGCGATATCTTGACCGATGAATACGGCGGGAGTTGATAATGTGGTGTTTATCTTTATTTAAAAAGTGAAATGTGTTTGGATTTTGTCGGTGGCGTTACGGTGGAGATGAGGGAGGAGGTGGCGGCGGAGATGGTGGTGGGGGTTGGTGGCAGGCGGTTTTAATTTGGTTGCAGAGAGTCAAACAGAGGTTTGACCAGCTCTGCGTCGTTTGGTAAGTGGAGTACTCATGGGGTTTAATAAGTTATTGAAGGCCAAATGGGGACGATTTACATGTCACCCCTTTGGGTTTGTGTGTTCTCATCGAATCCTATCGTTGCTATCCACATTATATATGTATTTCCTTTAATTTTGTTAAACTTATATATGAAAATGATTTTATTTAAAGCTATGTGAACAACTTAGGTGCTGTTTGTTTTTTCTGAGGCAAAATGTCTGCAGTCTGCGGACCACATCTGTAGACCTTTGCAGTAGAAGAGGTGGACCAAACGTCTGCAGTCTGAAAAAAGAAGACTGTTTGTTTTTTTAATATCTGCGGGCTACTAAAATAAACTGAAATCTAAATAAACTGATTTTTTTAAACTTCAAAGTGATTTTTTAATATTTTTATGACTTTGTTATAAATAATTAACGAATCTAGATCAACTTTTATTTATTATTGTATAAAAAATAAAAATAAAAATGGTATGAATTAACGTATATATTTGATAAAAACCAACAACTTTGATTGCAAAGTTATAACTAAACATTATAATTACTAATCAAGAATTTGATACATAAATGGATAAAAATAAACTTCGATTTTTTTAATTAAATCCATTAAAAACGTACCATAAATATTTTCTCGAGAAATTGACGATACTGTATTAAATAATGTTTTACAAAATTTGGCAAAAAAATATAAGAATATATTATGATTTTTTTTTTTCATATTTATATAAAGAACTTCAACGACTATTATTGTAATAAATCTTTATTTATAAATTTGTCAAAAATATAATGTTTGTATCGTCGAACGTTTTTTTTTAAGTTTTTTAATTTTTTTTTCAAATTGTTTATCATTAATAAAGTTGGAAAAAATATAAATAAAAAAAAACTTAAAAAAAATTAAGATATATATGTTTTTTTAGGCTAGAAGATGTTAGAAGACTCTGGTCCACATCTGCGCCAAGAAGAGGGCGCGCAGACATTTTTAGGTCTGCAGTCTTCAAAAAAACAAACAGTCTTCGAAGGCTAATGTTTGCGCGTGGTCTGCGCGGCGCAGACAGAAGAGGCCACGCAGATCTGCAGACAAAAAACAAACACTACCTTAATCTAATCTTATCATCAAATATCAAAGTTTGGTGTTTACGTTTATATATTTTTTTATAGCTAAATACTTGTTTATAAAACGAAATTTCATCTTTATTTTGGTTTTTATGATAACATGACCCCAAGATAGATATCTCAGGATGCAAACCCAATCTCATTTCGGTAAAAAGAGAAACCATATGATGTCATATAAGACAACGGGATAATCCATTCTATCACTAATAGGTTTTAGAAAATGAAACATCATCATTCGTCTATGTTGATCATTGATCCTGAAGCCTTGTATCGAAAGTTTTCCTGATGCCTGTGTCCCGAGAGTATCGACAATATGAAAAATGATTGGATTGATGAACATTCGCTGAAGGGGAGGCCAATGGCGGAACTTGGGTTTGAGGGGATGATTGTTGGGATGCAAACCCAATCCTACATCGATAAAAAGAGAAACCATATACTAGTAGTGATCCTGCCAAGAGCATTTTATTTTCACACCAACATTGTAATTCGAAACCTATTGTCTAGGGTCGTAAATGAGCCGCATAACCACGAACCATGCTAACTTATATTTTCATATGTATGTTAGTTTAAGTTAACCAAACAAACGAATGAACACAGACACATAAACGACCAATTTTATTTTTCCAGTTGATCTTTGTTCGTGATCTTGAATATGCTAAACGAACATAAACAGATGAAAATACATGATCATAAACACATAAATAAACATAAACAAATATAAATGAATATAATTATTCAAATTAAGAACAATACATTAATAAATGTACATAAAAAACCTAATAAGAACAAATATATATAAATAAACTTGTAACACCGTAAACTTTCAAACCAAAATTTTCATTTAAAAAAAAACACAATAAACTCATATATTGTATTTCATAAACCACAAGTATCTCAAAATGTCAACATCAAAACCACAAATAAAGTCAAATCCCAGAATCCTCAATATAGTATCGAATAAGTGTGTACAATCATGTCGGCGCCTTCCCGCGGTCCTGAGAAGTACCTGAAACACATCACACATAACACGGTTAACACGAAGCTTGGTGAGTTCCCCAAAATACCACATACACAAATAATAAGCCTCTCATGGCTACAACTCGGCATGGACCCTCCGGCCTCATGTGTCTCGGTGTGGACCCTCCGGTCATGTGTCTCAGTGAGGACCCTCCGGTCTCACAACTCAGTTTGGACCCTCTGGTCTTGTCTCAGTGGAAACCCTCCGGTCCCACAACTCGGGTTGGACCCTCCGGTCCTATCTCAGTAAAACACAGAATATATAGCATATATATCACACAGACAAAATGCATAATATCACATCACTCAAATAAGCACATAAGACCCTCCGGTCACACATAGATACCACTCATGGTACGTATAGTGAGAAAACTCACCTCGTAAGAAATCGGATAACCTCGAACTCGAATCACCGGTCTAGCTTCCGCCTAACACATAAGATAATTATCCCTAATTAATAGCGGCTCTCAAAAAGCTAGACTAACCCTTCTACAAGCTCCCAGAAGGGTAAAAGACCATTTTACCCCTCTTTGGCCTTAATAGTCCCCAAATTGACCAAACCCTAAAAGTCAACCAAAAGTCAACGACAGAGTGTACGCTGCGCGTACCAGATCTCTACGCTGGGCGTACTCTGCTGCCATGCAGGCATCAGGGATGCTCGACCCCTACGCGGCGCGTACTGGGATTACGCTCAGCGTACGTCCCAATTTCACTCTTTATCACATATCTGGACTCCCTAATAGCTCTTACTCCATAAAGTCAGTGACTTTAAGCCTTTGCATGGCTGATAAGGTCACAAACACACAAAACTCTCACTCTCTTATCTCAAAATGCTCATATCTCATGCATGGCTTGATTCCAACGTCCAAGTCTTGACTTTTATGACACTACACCACTAATTACACTCAAAGGGGTTGATCATAGTCTCTGGAGCTCAATTATCTCATAAAGTCTCCGACTTTTGGGAAAAAAACCCTAAAATACTCTACCATGATGCACAAATCAAAAGAGTAAGAAAGCTTGGAGCTTTATACCTCTAGATGAAGCTCCCAACTCAAATATGCTCAGATCCAAGGCTTGGACTCTCACTCCTTCTTCTCCCAAAGCTCCTTCTTCACTCCAAGAACACACAAAATCACTTAAAGGTTCTCAAATGAGGCCATCATATCCTTTATATAGGGACACCCCAAATTAGGGTTTTCACTCTGGGCCTAGTACGCCCAGCGTACCCTCTGGTACGCCAAGCGTACTAGGTGGCTTCTACGTCAAAAACACGCATATGACTACGCTGCGTGTATACTCGCATACGCCCCGCGTACTCATTTCCTACTTTTTTTCCAATAAGGACTAAACTTGACAATTTACCAAAAGAACAAGGGCTTATAAGGTATACCTGGTCTTGGGATGTTGCAAAGCTCTTAAGCACATGACGTTTGTAGATGCTATTGGCAATGGCGTTTTCCCAGAGCTAGAATTGGCAATGATGACCTTTCAACACTCCTTTTTTTTTTTGCAGATAACGCAAAGTTTTTTTTTTGGGGAATGGTCTCAAGAAACTGCTATATATGAATTTGTTGAGAATGATAAGGTGTTTTTACCATGCATTTTGTAAATATTCAAAAGCGTCACATTTTTTGGGGTTGGTGTTACAAGGGAAAAAGTTGATGTTATATCAACTTTTGTTGGGTGTGACTCAACTAATCTCCCATTTAAGTATTTTGGTTTGTCAATTGTAGCATATATTTCGAATGTGAAAATTTGAAAACCTATTGTGTAACGCCCGTAGATCTGGGCTAGTCAATTTAGAGATAATAGGGGTCGAAAACAAATTTTAGACAAAAGATTATTTAGAATAAATAATCTTAACCAAGTTGTAGAATATGTCTCAAGGGTTCTGTTCATATAAAGAACGCCGAAATCCGAGTTATAACGAAGAAATTATGGCATGTCGAAGTTTTTCGGCAAAACCGGCATGACACTTGGAGACGTAAATAGTGAATTTACGATGGAGGACTTTTTAGCCTTAGCGATCTAAACGAAAGTCGTAGTATACGTTAAACCGAGAGCGTCCATAAAAAGAACGCCCAAATCTGACTTCGTATGAGGAAGTTATGATTTTTCTAAGATTTGGCATAGTAGTGCAAGACCTGAAACTCGAATTTTAGTTCGAGCGGTGTTTGGCCTACGCAACCTAAATGAGAGTTGAAGATCTCATTAATATGAACTCAACGATAAAAAGACAACGAAAACGGAGTCCGTATGAAGGAGTTACGAATTCTTCGCGGTCATTTAACAGTCTAATCTCCTCCTACTGTTAAATTTAAGATTGGTCGAGAATTAGCCAACGGAGTCTAAATGAAAGTTGTAGATCTTGTTTTTACCTATGCGTGGAAAAAAAGAACGTAAAAAACAGAGCTCATAGGCGAAAGTTATGAATTTTTGAAAATCGGCTGATTTCCACCCTCTGTGCGATGCCACGTGTCAGCACCAGGCTGTGTCTGGCTGTCTCCAGCGAGTCACGACGTGAATTTATGTTTCACGACGTGAAATGGCCTCCAGCACCCTATAAATAGAGGTGTCGGGTGAAGCTCATTCCTCACACCTTCAAACCCTTCTTTCTCTCTCTAGAACCTCTCTCTAACCCCCTAAACCCCCTAAAAAGCCTAGGGAACCCCCCTAGCACGAGGCGGAAGCCCGGAGCACCCGACGGCTCCGAGAAGAAGAGACTTTCGGCTCGGGAACGCTGCTCCAGCGAAGATTAGTTTTCGAGAAAACTCGCTGTAAGTGAGCTACGCCTACCCTATCTTTAGTATAACTTATGTTTCAATATAGTAATGTTATTAGGACCTTATAATAATTATTTGAGATATTATTATGGGTTATATAAATGTCGTTATAATATCTTTTTAACTACTCGCGGTACGGGGAATCTGGTTTAAAGGGCCGCATA